CTTGTTCTTGATGGCAAAAGGTTCCTGGGACTGTTGGGAACGTGTTTGGATCAAGAGAAATGCTTGAATTGCACTGGAAGGTTGAAAACAGTTTTCACTTTTTTGCTTGGATTTTTGAATTTTGTTCTTTCGTTTCAGAGGTTTCTAGGTCGTGTCTGATGTATGAGAGGCTTGCATATAAAGTCATGAACGAGAATCAATCACATTTAGGAGACTTTAACCCTTGCAATCAAGTTTTGAGATTTCTCCATAACCACCATTAAAGCAACTTGCCAATTTTGTTCAATTTTGAATTTCATGCTTAAAATGGACCTTACACGAATTTGGCATGTGTATTATGATGCATCAAGGTCATTTAAACCACAAGATATCCTTTGATTAATTTTTTTGATTTTTATTTGAATTTTATGGATTTAAAATGAATTAAATCAATAAAATTAAATAAAAATAGAAAAAATAAATGTTTAATCTTGAATTTAATCATGGGACACGTGGGTGGCATGACAAGGATGAATCAAGTGGAAAAAGTGGGCCCTTTTGTCAAAAATTGAAGTTTCAAGGATAGTTGACTTTGGCCATTTCACAAAAATTTCCCAACTTCTCCAATGCATATCTTGCTCAATTTTGATCATATGAACATGTTCTTAGACATTTTGGAAAGGTCTTGAAGTCCTCTAACCAATGCCTTTTGTCCCATGTCATTTTGATTTACCAATCTCAAGTTATGGTCTTTGACTCAAAGGGCCTTTTTGTTGACTTTTGAAAATGACCTATAATGTTGAAATTGATAACTTTTTGTGAGAGCATTTCTTGGACTTGGAATGTGAAGATGAGTTGTAGGAAATGTCCTCCCCTTCAAAATGAGCATTGGATGGGATTTTTCTGATGAACCATGAAAAAGTTATGCCTTGGTCAATTTACAGTTGACTTTTCAACTATCCAAAAATAGAAACTTTTGACACCTTGATGATTTTTGAGCCATTCTTGTGAAATCATGATCAAGACTTGATCAAATGATGATTGTGGCTTCAAAATAAGATGTTGACCAAAAAATTTGACTTTTGACTGCCAAATGACCATTTTACCCCTATAGTTGATTGTGAAGCAAATGGAGCTTTTGACTGTGCAATTTGACCCTGTGAGTCTTGAAACTTGACATGTAGGAGCTTGAGAATGTATAGAGGCCTATGAGACTTGATTGAGCCATTGAAAACCTCAAATTCCTTGAAGGAACCAAAACCCTAATTTTGACTGGCTTAGGAGGCAGTTGGACTGTGCAATCCTTGAGTAGTCTTGAACCATTTGAAGATGATTCTTGACAAACCTTGGAGAATATGGGAGGGAAAATTTTGGGTACAACAGATGCTAAGTGAAAAGAAGTTGTGCAGTCTTAATTTGATGCCTTGAGTAGCAATAACACCTGGTCTCTTATGCCTCTTCCACCTAATAGGAAATCTATAGGCTGTAAGTGGGTGTTTCACATCAACGAAAATCTTGATGGCTCAATCAGCAGGTACAAGGCACGCCTTGTAGCAAAAGGGTTTCATCAGAAGCAAGGGTATGATTTTAATGAGACCTTTTCTCTTGTTGTGAAGCCAATTACAATTAGACTCATCCTGACTATTGCCCTCAATCAAAAATGGTCTATTCAGCAGCTTGATGTAAATAATGCCTTTCTGAATGGGCTTCTCGATGAAGAGGTCTATATGGATCAACCTCCTGGCTTTGTTAACTTTGATTATTCTCTTGCGTGCAAACTGCACAAAGCCCTTTATGGCTTGAAACAGGCCCCTAGGCAGTGGTTTGAAAGGTTACAAGAGGCTCTTCTTAGACTGCATTTCAAACCCAGCAAATGTGATCCCTCCTTGTTCACCTTTGCTGCAAATGGTAACACTGTTTATTTGCTAGTGTATATGGATGATATAATTATCACCAGCAATAACACTACTTTACTTCAGTCCATTATTCATGAACTAACTCTGACTTCTCTCTCAAACACCTAGGTGATTTGGATTATTTTCTTGGGATTAAAGTCAAGCCTTCTGCTCAGGGATTTATTCTCCTCACTCATACTAAGTATATTAGGGATTTACTGCAGAGAACTCACATGGCTGACTCTGCCCCTGTTGCCACTCCTATACAGCCCTCCTGCAAGCTAACTAAACTTGGCTCCTCTTCCCTTGCTGATCTATATGTACAGGTCTTCTATTGGGGCTCTCTAATATACAACCATCATAAGACCTGACATTGCTTGTGTTGTTAATAAAGTATGTCAGTTTATGTCTCATCCTTTGGAAACTTATTGGTTTGTTGTCAAAATAATACTCAGGTATCTTAACGGTACTATCCAACATGGTCTTCATCTATCCCCTCATGTCCTATCTAAGGCTCCTTCCCTTCAAGTCTTCTGTGATGCTGACTGGGCTTCAGACCCTGATGATAGGCGCAGTACATCTGGTGCAGCTATCTATTTTGGAGGAAATTTAGTGTCCTGGTGGTCTAAGAAGCACATTATGGTTTCTAGGTCTAGCAGAAAAGCATAATACATAAGTTTAGCTCAGGCCACAACTGATCTTCTCTGGCTTCAAACTTTATTAACTCAATTGTTTGTTCCTACTCAATAGCCAGCGGTGTTGTGTGACAATCAATCTGCAGTGATGCTGGCTCACAATCCCATCATGCACTCTAGGACAAAACATATGGAAATTGACCTCTTATTTGTGTGTGAGAGAGAGAGAGAGAGTTCTTTCCAAGCAAATCATAGTTGCTCACATCCATGGTTTGGATCATATTGTTGACGTGCTTACTAAACCACTTTCATCTACTAAGTTTCTGGACTTCAGGCACAAACTCAGGGTTGCTCCCAGTAGCTCCCCATGAGTTTGGGGGGGGGCTATAAGAGTAAGAGATAAGGATAAAGGCGTTAATACTGTAATAGCTTTGTACATTACTGACAAATGTCAAGTCTAGAACAGTAGCTAACCTGCTATAGCAGGTCACACAAGTTTCTACTATAAATGCAACTATGTATCTCCTCTTGTAACTAACTTTCACATAATAACAGAAACGAAAATTTCACCTTTGATTTCTATCAGTAACAGTTCTAAATATTTTATTAATAATGTATTCTTTGGTTCACGTTGTGATTTGTATGACATACCACCAAACAGATCTATTTTAACACCTTAAATGATTATGGCAATAAGGTATATTGACAAACAAATTAATGTATTTCTAATGGCTCTAACATGTACTACTTTTACAATTAACATGTTCATGTCATTATGTGGTTACATTTATAATCAGTTAAGGCCATTGTTCAACATAATCACATGATAGCTTTTGTTCTGGTGTAAGATCTTTATTATGGCCCTAAATTTTTATTATAAGTCTATTTCCTATGATCACCATAACATTTGCAAACTTTTCCCTTATATTTCCTAATGTACTCACGTAGTACCGATACATGAACTACAACCAAACTAGTTATAGTCTTCAACTCTTTGAAACCTTCTTAAACATGCTAGTTTATGTTTGGTTTAAACTTCTCTCTGTGCATAACATGTCTTGAACTATTTTTGGTGTATGAATGTATGGTTCTTGATGCTTTGAACTTAATGTGCATTGGATTTGTGGATTGTGGTCATGATGTATGTTGTGTATATCATTTGGTTTGGGTTGTTCTTTTTACTGTTATGGCATGCTTGTTTACATTTCGGTGTGTACTGGTTTTTAATGTCATGGTGAACTAGGTGATGGTCAATTTTTTCCTTCTCTTTTAAAGTTCTTATTTTTCTGATTATGGTGATGAAAGAAATAAAATGCAGAAAGTAAATGAACACCAGATATATACTGGTTCCCCTTACAGATCGAGAGTACTTCAGTCCTCTTTCCAACATAGAAGAGATTTCACTATAGTTTAGAATGATTGCACAAGCCTAATCACACCAAAGGTGATGCCATGATATCTAATCTATAGGGAGATCAAAGGCTCTTAAATCCTTTAAGATCTTGAACACTAAGTGCAAGAAGAACAATCATCTTCAATGCACACACTTGCTCCAACAATCCTGGAATGCAAGGTTAATCTTATACAAAATTTGATTTTTACAAAGTATGATCGATTATTGAATAACATTATGGTTATCAAGACACTAAGACAATATTTAATAAAAAGTTTATAGTTAAACCTAGTGCTCAATATATGTTGAAACAATGATGGGTATGAAATTTCTAAATAATGTTTCATGCAATATGTAAAGTCTAAAAGTTTTATAACTCTTAAGAATTTTTTAAAGTTTGAATAATGTGTCATGTGTTATGATCAGAATGCAAATGAAATTTATATGTAAAATGCATCCTTTCATTACACCTCAAATGAGTAAAAATATATGGTTGGACCCCAAGAGGTATCACCCAACAACCAAGTAAAACAGAAAATATTTGAATTTTTTTCTTCAGCGATAATGTGTATATTTTTCAAATTCCCTTGGCTGTAACCGGTTACCCAAAAGCTATAACTAGTTACCCAAAAGCTGTAACCGGTTACCACTAAACCAAAAACTTATTTTATTTTTGCGAAGCCCTATAACCGGTTACTCTAACCCTGTAACTAGTTACCAGTGAGTGAAAGTGATAAAAACTTATTTTCTAAGTGATGGACATGCAATGTTTTACTCTTAAATGATCATGACACTTATGTAAAATGTTTAGAGTATATTTTGAGCACTATATCATCTTAAAAACCTAAAATTACAACTTGTACCTAATTTGTTGATGAATCTTCATCTTGAATGTTGGTTGTACACTTGTAGAAGACTTCATAGAATGATCTTGAAATATTAAATATTCTTGAACATCTTCTTTTCCACGTCCTTGATATTTCTTTGACTTTATGTATGGTGGTCTTCATCAAAACACTTTGATTGGAGTGCATGCAATCACATAATGTATCCTGGTGTCCTTTGGTTCGCCTTGTATTAGAAGGTTTTGGTGTGTGCATGTTCATGGTTTGTTTCAAATTTGAATTCCCTGCTTGCTTTTCACTTGATATGATATTGAACTTGGTATGATGGTAATGTATACATGTTTTTAACTGCAACTGCGAATTTTTTACAAACCATATGTTTCTAACTGCCAGTTAATTACACTCATGTTTATTGGAAAATGTTTCTTTTAGGATAAATTTGAATGGAAAAAGTTGGATATTTCTTCTCAAAATCCAACTATTACGGGAGAGGGTGAAGCTGATAGTCAACCAACTATTAGAATTCCACCTGATTTGGATATATGGATAGAGTCTGTTGGAAAGAAGATAGGGAGGGTATTTGGTCTTGGAACCGTTTCCAAGACTTTGGTTTTCATTATCAAATAAACCCTCAAGTGTTTCGAGTGACTCTCAAGAGATTAATGCTTTGAGAAGTCAAGTACATGCTTTAAATGCATTGTTGCAAAGACAAGAACAAGAGAAGCTAGAGATGAGGCAACAATTGCATCGACAAGAAAAAAGATGATCAAATCGAATAATAGAATTTCATTTTTAATGAATCATTTGAGATTTGTTGGGTCATCTTCTCATCCACCACAACCCACTAATGAAAGTGATCAAACAAATGAAGATGAAGAATCAGATGAAGATGAAGAATCAAATGAAGAAAACTTTAGTAAAGAATTTTAATTTGCACCGTTTTTCTTGTTGACTTGGTTATAATTTTGATAGTTTTATCTTTTGAAGTTGGATGGACAAATTAATATTAGTATTTTGGTTGCTTGAGTCATTTTTAGTAATATGATTATGTAAAAAATTATTACAAACTTTGTAGCAACATTTATAGTAATTTGTTGTTCTATGAATTTGTCTTATTTAAATTCAAAGTATTTTAAATTAAATTTTTATTTTTATAGTATGGATATTTTAATAAAAATTCAAATCATTTTATAATGTTTATAATGTTTTAAAAATAAATAACTACTTAATACGAGATAGATATTTCCTACGGATTTACCTGCAGATTTACATTTGTTGCAGATTTTTCTGCGCATCTTTCCTGCGGATTTTTCAGCAGATAATTTCCTGCGGATCTTCCTACATAAAATATTACCCACGAAGACTTTAGCTGGGGACAATAAACCGCGGGAAAATCCGTATGAAATGTGTTACCTGCGAAACTTTTGCTTAAATCTGTAGGAAATCCATGTATTTTTAGCAGTGAAGGAAATAATGTCTAACGGAAGCTCTAAAAAGAAAGAGAGAAGACACATAGAACTATTAAAAAAATGATTTGGCGAGTTTCACAAAATTTAAAGACGGGTGGGGATCAAAAAACGCTTAACTATGATGGCTAAGGGTGAAAGGGATAAGTACTTGAGATCTCAATATTAATCATTTTGCCTTATCTTCACAAGGATCAGGTAAAAAAAACCCAAATCATCTTTGATGACTATTTAGGATTTTGAAATGCTATCAAAGAGAAACTGCAAGAAGGTATCTACTTTATAAAAAATCATAGAAACATAGTGAAGAAATTTTACAAAATGATGACATGCATAAAATATTCAAAAAGTTGTAACATATCCAAAAAGGGTAATCCTAAGGGCACATGTTAAGAGTTAAGGGTCTGTTTGGTTCAAATGAGAAAGATGAGAAGAAATTTAATAAATAGAAGGGGAGGAAAGGGGAGAGATTTTTTTAATTCTACATATGTTTGGTTCAAAAGACGGGAGGAGAGAGATTTTAATTAAAAATATGTTTGGTTTACAAGGGAAGTGGATGGATTTTATTAATAATTTACTTTTTTATCCTTATGATATTATATAAGTGATATGATATTCAAAGCAGAAAAATTCATGATATTTTTTTTATAATAAAATTTCTAATATTGAGTGATTAAAAATGTTATCACTTACCACACAATGTTACAAAAATTAAATAAATTTGATTCTGATTATAAATTATAACTCTCACACAAATTAAAGTACGTGTTAATAACAACTTTTATAACCCTCACACAAATTAAAGTATGTGTTGATAACAACTTTTAAATTGTGATGAATCACATAATAAAAAAATACATAAAATAACTTATAATTAAATATTAGCGAAAGAAAAATAATTATAACGACGACTCAAACACAAGTTAAAAAAATTATTTTATATAAAAGAAAATATAACAGAATACATAACAAAATTATAAAAAAATTATACAAAAGAAAATAATTTGAAAGAAATAAATTATTTTATATAAAATAAAATATAATAAAATACATAATAAAATTAAAAACACAAAGATAAGTGAATTAAAAAATTATAAAAAAAATGAAAGGATTATAATTTATGTTAAGTATAAAAATTAAAAAAACAATAAAGGTGGAGAACAATTATAATACATTGATGGAAACAATAAATAAAAATCACACAAAAAAGAAGGAGTAAAATGAAAGAAAATAAATAATTTTGAAATATTAAAATTAAACTAGAGATATTTTAGTAAATATAATAATTTTTTTAAAAACAAACATTCATCTTCCCTCCCCTCTCCTCCAAATCCTCCCAATTTGAAAGGATGCAAAAAAATGTATTTTAGAAGGGTTTTACTCCTCTTCCTTCTTCCTCTTCCCTCCTAAAATTTGAACAAAAAATAATTAATTATAAATGTTCCCTCCCCTTCATCTATCCCGAACACACCTTAAATCCTCTCCCCTCCCCTCCATCTATTCCGAAATTCATAATTATAAATTTCAAATTATGCATTGTTTTAACATGAGCTGAAGCAAATTTAACATAACATTTTAAAGTATCATTTTCATAACACATTCGAGAAGTAATATTTTAAAGGTCGTGTAAAATATAAAATTTTCTATTTGAAGCTAGACTTCCTCGAAAAGCAGAAGAAACTCAATCTCGCTCGAATGATGTAAAGTTCAAATACAAAACAAGACTTCTTAAACAATTGTAGGAAGTTACAAATTTAAAAAAGTAAAATAAAAAATTATCAAAAGAAATAACTTGAGAAAGAAGTTTAAGGACAATTAGTTTTTAACCTGATTTAAGCTTAAGGATAGTTTATGTAGAGTAGATCTAAACATACACCTAAATAAGGTCTAATTCGACATAAATTGCAGTTTCATTATTAAGGTATAATTTCAATCGATAAATTTTAGTTTTTGGTGGATTCGATTTAGTCGGTTTGGCTGGTAAATCAGGTGGACTTGGCAAGTTTAATGTTTATTGGAATAAATCTATAAAAATGACTCATCTTTTATAACATTTACAAATATTCATCTTTTAATTTTTTATTTATAAAAAAAATCAAAATTTTAGAATAACTCAAATAAAAATTAGTTTATTATTATTGACAAAACATTATTATCACACTGTAACATTTCAAATATCATTTGATATTAATTTGTTCATTACCATACTTTAAACAATAAATTAAATAACACTCAAAATTTTATATTATATGTCTTATTTTTGTGAGTATGCAATGCCACAATTAAATTTTTTTATAGGCAATGGAATAATGTAATTAAAGGAGTACAATGGGTACCGTCCCATTTACACAAAATCGAAACACTTACATGAAGTCACATGGACATTTGCACCAAGAGTAATAATCACTACAACCTCTTGAGTTTAAGCCTATTACATGTCAAAACCTAGATAATAACTTAATATTGTCCACCACATCTTACATAACCAGCTTTTCATTCTTAAAGATTACCGTATTCCTCGCAATCCACAACGCCCAATAGGTTGCCAACCAAACAAGCAATATCTTTTTCGACGAAACTGTTCCATTTAAAGCCTCATGCAATCGAAACAAATGATGGACCACCACAGCTTCACCAAATTGTTCTATATCTAACCAGCACAACACTTCCCTCCATATTGCTTTAGAGAATACACAAGACATTAACAAATGATCCAGATTTTCCACTTGTGTTTCACAGAAAACACATAATGATTCATTACTGTCAGTGAGAATGCCCCTTCTTGCCAATTGAGCCTTTGTAGCAAGTCTATCCCTTAAGCATCTCCATCTGAAACCATTATCTTAGAAGGTACATCTGTTGTCCACAAGAGATTGACTGCTTGCAGAAAATTCTAATCCGGAACTAAATCGCCACCCTCTTTGTTATACATAACATAGCCTTCTCGGATTGAATAATTCCCCTCCAAATTTCTAAACCACACAAATTTATCCTCCCTTTCGAGTAAAGGAGCAACATAGATTAACAGTTTATTTAATTCACCACCGTCCCTTCCAACAACTCTCGCTCACATAATAGATTCCACTTCCAAGCCCCTTTCACGAACTCACCCATCTCCCTAACAACCGCATCCTTATTGTTTGAGGAATGAAACTGTTGTATCCCAAAATTCACCCTCTCACTTATCAAATATTTTCTCACAAAGATCTCTCTTGGTTCAAGACTGCATTAGGGTTGATCAACTTAAGACACCTCCTTAAGCACTGTTGACTCAAATTAGGGTTTGAGATTGCACAAGGATAATTGAACTTTAAATACCTCATATTACTTTCATGGATCATTATGGACCCCCAAGATTACTCATGTCAAGTTTAAAGCCTTGAATCACATTTTTGCTCAGTCATTTGAGCAGTTGACCTAAAAATCAACTGTATTGGGAAAAAAGTCAATTGTGACCAATTTACAGTCAAACTTCATAATTTTTTATCCACATCAACATTATAAACTCATATGTATCATTTGATCAAGTTTGAACCACAATTCTTCAAGAAATTTGATCAAATCATCAAAAGGGCAAAATGGTCAAAATTAGGGTTTTGACTGAGAAAGGGCAATTTCTGATTTCTGACCTAGAAAATGGTTAATTGGTTTGAGGCATGATATCAAGAGTTCAATTGAATCATTTTGACCTAATGGCATGACCCGCAACATTGCTCAAGATCAATTGGATTGATAGTGAATTTTCAGTCAACTAATCAAAAGTCACTTGTACACTGAAAAGTCAAAACTTTGACTTTTTGGTCAAATCAAATGCCAAAGATCACAATTCATCAAAACATGTCAAAATATGAAACTTATTCATCAATAAATCAAAAAGTCAAGATTTCATTTTGAAAAGTCAAAGTTTTCTAACTTAGAATTTTTTCTAAGTGTTTAAAACTTCATGTTTTTTACAACTTTGAGCAAATTTTTCACCATGATGCAAGATGATTCAAAAGAAACTTTCAACATGAAAGTTGTAGATCTCCATGAGATATACAACATTTCTTTACACAACTTCTTCTAAAAGTGCTTGGATCTCAAGTTATTAATTCATGAAGTCTTGAAACTAAACACTTAGTGAAATTTTGCCCTAGTTTAGGCAGGATTTTAACGTAACTT